CCTTGTTTTAAAATTTCAGCACGACTTAAAAACATTGTTAAAAACGCCAAACCAACCTATTATATAACCAAATAAGGAAATAATTGTTAATTTTACGATAAAGAAGTATAAGTTTGTAAGTTACGATATAAACTTAAAAAAATTGATAACAAATCATCACACCTTGCTTCTCGCCACCCATACGATATTATTCCTTTCGATAAATAATCCAAATAATCCAATCACAATCCTTAATGGGGATTCAGCAACAAATTGTAGCAAAGGTGGGACAACAGTGTTCATAAACAGTTCAACTTCTTCTAACATTGTTGGACTAACATTTCCTTGAGGCCCCCAAATTGCACCTTTGCATACATCTAATGTTTCAAAATTGGATACTAATATTGTGATTAAATTAAATATTTGTTCGGGAAGGCAATGACGTATGACCCGTGGAATAACTTTTTTTCCTTTCGCTACAGAAAGTATGCTAATGAATGGGTGTGGATAGCTTTCAAATATGTTTAATTTAAATGTATAAATCAGTTCAATTATTGAAATTATTGATTAAAATTTGTATATTAAACTTAATGGTATGAAAGCTAAATTACCTGCCAATCATATCTGTTACTCTTAGTTCTTCCCACATCGTCTTTGCGAGTTCAACATAATCTTCATTCCTGAACGAATGATTATTAGAAAAGGTTTGCTATCACAACGGTCTCATTTAACTTTCGCTCGTCAACAATCGAACTACGAACCATCTTTCAACGGCCACTCTCTCATGATCAGCGTATGGTCTCGGCAGCGGTGGCTGATTTCGTCTCAATTCTTCTAATGCCAATACTGCTGTATATACGTTTTCGATAGACCTCAAAATTTTTCGATGATCTATAACGCCATGTGATGAAATTGACGGAATTTTTTGATGCTGATTATGAATACCACCACTACCATTGCTAGGACCCGCATGATGAATGTCATTGCTCTTGGATGAAACTTGTAATAATTGTCTAGGATTACGTACAGAATTAAGAGCAATTTTACCTAGAGCACCCTCTAGTGATACTATTTATGAATATTAAAAAAATTTTTTAAAATTTTAAATTTTAAATATTTTGATACAAATAAATATAAGACGTATTATTTACGTTGTGTTAATTTTGGTTTCCTTCTTGCATCATTAACAATTCTTAACACTTGTTGTTGCATCTTCAATAGTCCACTTTCGGATCCTCTACTTCGATGACGTCCTCGTTCGTGTCCCACGAAATTAGACCCACCGAGTTGCGGTGAAAAAGTGGATATTGAAGGTTGCTGTTGTGGTTGGCGGGATCGTATAGCAGTATATACTTGATAATAAAAGTCATCTGCGTAAGGGTCGTCAGTTACAAGTTGTGATATTTGAATGCGATTGACGAAATCTTTATCACTTTGCGTCATAAGACCATTATATCGAGACTGTA